AAAGAACAATTACATAAATAACAATTTATAATGATCTGAATAATAAACATAAACAACTATAAGTAACAACAACAATAAATGGCTCTAACAACCTTTAAAGTATTATAAAAAAAAGAAGGACAATGGGAAATTTTGAAACTATTATACTACTACAGATACAGCTGGTTAAAGGAGGTTCTAACTGTCATCGGAGAGTCTGAGAAAATGTCGACAGAAACTGCCGTGTACAGTTATATTTTTGTTTCTCGATTGAATGGTTCCCCGATTGGTGTAGTCACGTCTGTACTGGACGAACACACTCTTGTCAACGTGAGTAGTATCATAGCAGCTTGAGGAAGTATTTTGTACAGTAACCCTTTACACAGTCTCAACAGAGGAAGTCTGTTGAGTCATGTGTAACTCTGCAAGCAGTGCTACTAACTCTGCAAGCAGTGCTACTAATCTGGATCAGTTTGTCACCTTTGTTGTCACAGTGACCAACTACACACAGTGCCTTGCGGCTAGAGCAACGGGTATTGAAAAGGTTCCAGCAGGGGATGTAATAGGTCAATAAATTTTGGTCCGTCGGAATCGGATTTCCTTATTTTATTATGCTAACAACGGTACAGGCCAGTGTACAGAAAATATTTACGAGAGTAAAGAAAATACAAAAATTAAAGTTTAAAGTTTAACAAACAATAATAACAATTTATTAAGCAAAACGTGTCGTACCTATATAAGTAACACCAATAAAATCTGAAAGAACAATTGCATAAATAACAATTTATAATTATTTGAATAATAAATATAAACAACAATAAGTAACAACGACAATAAATGGTTCTAACAACCTTTTAAGTATAAAAAAAGAAGGACAAAGATAAATTTTGGAACTAATATACTACTACAGATACAGCTGGTTAAAGGAGGTTCAACTGTCATCAGAGAGTCGGAGAAAAAGTCGACAGAAACTGCCGTGTAGAGTTATATTTTTGTTCTCGATTGAATGGTTCCACGATTCTTGTAGTCACGTCTGTACTGGAGAAACCCTTCTCGTCAACGTAAGTAATTTCATAGCAGGGCTTGGGGAAGTATTTTGGTACAGTAACCCTTTACAGGGTCTCAACAGAGGAAGTTAGTTCTGTGATCATTACCACATAGACCGTGGATCATGTGTAACTCTTCCATCAGTGCTACTATTCTGGGTCAGTTTGTCACCTTTGTTGTCACAGCGACCAACTACACACAGTGCCTTGCGGCTAGAGCAACGGGTATTGAAAAGGTTCCATCAGGGGATGTAATAAGTCAATAAATGTTCGTCCGTCGGAACCGGATTTCCTTATTTATGCTACCAACGGTACATACCAGTTTACAGAAAATATTTTAGAGAAGAAAGAAAATGCAACAATTAACGGTACATGCCAGTTTACAGAAAATATTTTAGAGAAGAAAGAAAATGCAACAATTGACAATTGAAGTGTAACAAACAATAATAACAATATAGTAAGGAAAACTTCTCATATTTATATAAGTAACACCAATAAAATCTGAAAGAACAATTAAATAATAACAAGTTATAATGATCTGAATACTAAATATAAACAACAATAAGAAACAATAAGTAAATAAATTGCCTTTATTTACGTAAGTAAATAACAAGAAGAATAAATGGCTTTAACAACCATTAAAGTATTATAAAAAAGGAGGACAAAGATAAATTTTGGAACTACTATACTACTACAGATACAGCTGGCTAAAGGAGGTTCTAACTGTCATCTGAGAGTCGGAGAAAAAGTCGACAGAAGCTGCAGTGTCTCCATTAACCCGCAAAAGTCTAGTCAAGCCGCTGTTGTAGGCATGATTTGTTGGCTCAAACCTCCTACCGAAGATAACCCTGGATCTGGTACCTCTTGGGATGCGGAAGTCGATCAAAATCAGGAGTTCGGAGCAGTCCAACACTGCATATGACGTTGACTGGTTTGTGAAGAATTTATGTTTTATAAATAATTAGATATATACCAATATAATCGACTTTGATTGTCAGAACTAAAGATTAGACCACTATTGAACAAATGGTGTAGGGTTATAATGTTAGTGCTGTTAAGTTAATTTTAATAATAATCAAAATAGCAAACGATTAGGGCCTTTAAATAAAATTAGAATAAAATATTAAATGTTACTAAACTTGAACGTTGTTCTTTTTCTATAGATTACACCTCAGTATTTTACAACTGCGTGCATTGCTTAGTTTTCAAAAAATGTTAAAAAAAACACGGGAATACGTGTGAAATACTCGTCAAATACGGAAATACGAGGCCGGTCAAAGTAAATGGTGAGTTTAAAGCTGTTTCTAGCGGCTACCTCTTCCAGTTGTCCAGGTCGAAATAAAACGGACTACCCTTCAGATGGACGGGAAGACAATCAACCGTCGGTTCCGATTTAGAGACTAGGAACTTAAACAACCACCAGCATGCGTCACTGGCGCCCACCATTCTCTTCGTCACGTAATGCTGTAATGTGTAATGGGGCTCATCATCTTGCTTACTAAAGGTAGTAACTGTGACGTTCTGGTGAGATTCTCCCTTCATAAGGTATTTAAAGAGGTCCTTGATTACGGGGCGAGTAGACGCTAGCTTTAAATTGACGAGGGTCTCATGTTTCAATATCAGTGGGGGGTTTTACGGCACTACCCAACTGCCGTGTACAGTAATATTTTTTGTTTCTCGATTGAATTGTCCCCCGACTGGTGTAGTCACGTCTGTACTGGACGAACCCCCTCTCGTCAACGTGAGTAGTTTCATAGCAGGGCTTTGGAAGGTACTTTGTTCAGTAACCCTTTGCAGAGTCCCAACAGAGGAAGTCAGTTCTGTGATCATTACCACATGGACCGTGGATGGATCGTGTAACTCTGCAAGCAGTGCTACGAATCTGGGTCAGTTTGTCACCTTTGTTGTCACAGCGACCAACTTCCAACTTCACACAGTGCCTTGCGGCTAGAGCAACGGGTATTGAAAAGGTTCCATCAGGGGATGTAATAAGTCAATAAATGTTGGTCTGTCGAAACCTGATTTCCTTATTTAATTATGCTACCGTCGGTACAGGCCAGTCCAACGGGTATTGGAAAGGTTCCATCAGGGGATGTAATAAGTCAACAAATGTCAGTTCTGTGATCATTACCACATGGACCGTGGATCATGTGTAACTCTGCAAGCAGTGCTACTAATCTGGATCAGTTTGTCACCTTTGTTGTCACAGCGACCAACTACACACAGCGCCTTGCGGCTAGAGCAATGGGTATTGAAAGGGTTACATCAGGGGATGTAATAAGTCAATAAATGTTGGTCGGTCGGAACCTGATTTCCTTATTTAATTATGCTACTAACGGTACAGGCCAGTCCAACGGGTATTGAAAAGGTTCCATCAGGGGATGTAATAAGTCAATAAATGTTGGTCCGTCGGAACCTGATTTCCTTATTTAATTATGCTACCAACGGTACAGGTCAGTTGCAGATAACATTTTAGAGAAGAAAGAAAATACAACAATTAAAATTTGAAGTTTAACAAACATTAATAACAATATATTACGCAAAACGTCCCATACCTATATAAGTAACACCAATAAAATCTGAAAGGATAATTACATAAATAATAAGTTATAATGATCTGAATAATAAATATTAACAACAATAAGAAAGAATAAGTAACAACAACAATAAATGGCTCTAAACCCTTTTAAAGTATTATAAAAAAAGACGGACAAATATAAATTTTGGAACTACTATAATACTACAGATACAGCTGGTTAAAGGGGGTTCTAACTGTCATCAGAGAGGCGGAGAATAAGTCGACAGAAACTGCCGTGTACAGCTATATTTTTGTTTCTCGATTGAATGGTCCCCTGATTGGTGTAGTCACGTCTGTACTGGACAAACCCCCTCTCGTCAACGTGAGTAGTTTCATAGCAGGGCTTTGGGAAGTATTTTGTTCAGTAACCCTTTGCAGAGTCCGAACAGAGGAAGTCAGTTCTGTGATTATTACCAAATGGACCGTGGATCATGTGTAACTCTGCAAGCAGTGCTACTAATCTGGGTCAGTTTGTCACTTTTGCTGTCACAGCGACCAACTACACACAGTGCCTTGTGGCTAGAGCAACGGGTATTGAAAAGGTTCCTTTAGGGGATGTAATAAGTCAATAAATGTTGGTCCGTCGGAACCGGATTTCCTTATTTAATTATGCTACCAACGGTACAGGCTAGTCCATCGGGTATTGAAAAGGTTACATCAGGGGATGTAATAAGTCAATAAATGTTGGTCGGTCGGAACCTGATTTCCTTATTTAATTATGCTACCAAAGGTACAGGCCAGCCCAACGGGTATTGAAAAGGTTCTATCAGAGGATGAAACAAGTCGAAAAAATTTTGGTCCGTCGAAACCGGATTTCCTTATTTAGTTATGCTCCCAACGGTGCAGGTCAGTTTACAGATAACATTTTAGAGAAGAAAAAAAATACAACAAATAAAATTTGAATTTTAACAAACAATAATAACAATATAATACGCAAAACGTCCCATACCTATATTAGTAACACCAATAAAATCTGAAAGAACAATTATATAACAAGTTATAATGATCTGAATAATAAATATAAACAACAATAAGAAAGAATAAGTAACAACAACAATAAATGGCTCGAACAACTTTTAAAGTATTATTAAAAAAGAAGGACAAAGATAAATTTTAGAACTACTATACTACTACGGATACAGCTGGTTAAATAAGGTTCTAACTGTCATCAGAGAGTCGGAGAAAAAGTCGACAGAAACTGCCGTATACAGCTATATTTTTGTTTCTCGATTGAATGCTCCCCCGATCGGTGTAGTCACGTCTGTACTGGACAAACCCCCCTGTCTACGTGAGTAGTTTCATAGCAGGGCTTGGGGAAGTATTTTGTAAAGTAACCCTTTGCAGAGTCCGAACAGAGGAAGTCAGTTTGGTGATCATTAATACATGGACCTTGGATCATGTGTAACTCTGCAAGCAGTGCTACTAATCTGGGTCAGTTTGCCACCTTTGCTGTCACAGCGACCAACTACACACAGTGCCTTGCGGCTAGAACAACGGGTATTGGAAAGGTTCCATCAGGGGATGTAATAAGTCAATAAATGTTGGTCCGTCGGAACCTGATTTCCTTTTTTAATTATGCTACCAACGGTACAGGTCATTTTGCAGATAACATTTTAGAGAAGAAAGAAAATACAACAATTAAAATTTAAAGTTTAACAAACAATAATAACAATATATTACGCAAAACATCCCATACCTATATTAGTAACACCAATAAAATCTGAAAGAACAATTACATAAATAACAAGTTATAATGATCTGAATAATAAATATAAACAACAATAAGAAAGAATAAGTAACAACAACAATAAATGGCTCTAACAACCTTTAAAGTATTATAAAAAAGGAAGGACAATGGGAAATTTTGAAACAACTATACTACTACTGATATAGCTGGTTAAAGGAGGTTCTAACTGTCATCGGAGAGTCTGAGAAAATGTCGACAGAAACTGCCGTGTACAGTTATATTTTTGTTTCTCGATTGAATGGTTCCCCGATTGGTGTAGTCACGTCTGTACTGGACGAACACCCTCTTGTCAACGTGAGTAGTATCATAACAGGGCTTGGGGAAGTATTTTGTACAGTAACCCTTTGCAGAGTCCTAACAAAGGAAGTCAGTTCTGTGATCATTACCACATAGACCGTGGATAATGTGTAACTCTTCCATCAGTGCTACTATTCTGGGTCAGTTTGTCACCTTTGTTGTCACAATACCCAACTGACACTTCGAGCCCGCAGAAGAACATTGTGCCAGGAACCACAAAAACTCCACCTCAAAAGTCCACAAAAAAGTCAGTCTCTGGGTGGACGACGTTTACAGAAGTCGTCAATGCCAGGCACGGCTCTACAAAGAAGATAAGAATAGAAAACAATGGTGCTGAAGTAAGGGAATCTCCAATGTTATTCAACTTCCTCCTTCGCAAGAACGCCTTTATTCAGATCGTCACTTCCTGGAAAGAGCGCGTGCGTACAACGATTGTGCGCAAATCGTTGTACGCACGCGCTCTTTCCAGGAAGTGACGATCTGAATAAAGGCGTTCTTGCGAAGGAGGAAGTTGAATAACATTGGAGTTTCCCTTACTTCAGCACCATTGTTTTCTATTCTTATCTTCTTTGTAGAGCCGTGCCTGGCATTGACGACGTCTGTAAACGTCGTCCACCCAGAGACTGACTTTTTTGTGGACTTTTGAGGTGGAGTTTTTGTGGTTCCTGGCACAATGTTCTTTGAAACGGTCTATTAAGGTCCTGTTGGTATGGCCGATATACATTTTGTTACATGCACCGTTTAAAATAGTGTCCTTTTAAAATATTTGATGTCAAATTATACTAAAACCGTTAACTTTACAAAATAAATGTAAGAATTGTATGAATTATATTTGGTTTAACATTTTAGAGAACAAAAGTTTATTTTATATCAAAATGCAGTTTTTAAAATAAGTCTTGAAACAAATCTGTATTTTTAAAACTGAAATAGAAATATTCTGTTTGTGGCATTGATACTTAACAAAGTATCCGCATTTTCTACACCAAAAATATTGTTTAACCTCCCTAACAGGGTAGGGGATGACTTTTTTTTTTTCAAATAGTAATCCCTATTTAGTATATACAGATTTGTTTCAAGACTTAATTTACACACTGTATAAGCTATAATATTTATCTGGTCAAAACTCCATAACGAACCCATCTATTTTAATTATTTCTTTGTTTATGTTGTTTTTTTTTCACACGAGAAGTGTACTCTTGAGATAAACCTACATACTCTAAAATTAAACCGTGTATTTGAATTTGGTAGTTGTACTTGTTGGTTGTATAAACTGGTACCATATAAATATACAAAGTATTATCATTTTTTTCTGAAAATTGTAAATATAAATCTACCATAATGTATGCGTGTTTCAACCTAGGTTTTATAAACCATTTATTTCATATTTAGTTATTTAATTGTTAAGTTATTACGTTTTATAACTAATTATATATAGACCAATAGAATTGGCTACGACTGTCAGAACTAATGATTAGACCACTATTGAACAAATTGTGTACGGGTATAATGTTACTGTTGTAATGTCAACGTTCACAGTAATCTAAATAGCATAAAAATGACTAAGTAAAATTAGAATAACATATTTAATTTTATTAGACTTGAACATAATAGCTTATTCCCTGTGTGGTTAATTCGCTGAAAAGAAAGATGAAGCAGTGATAACATTAATTAAAGGCTTTTAGACAATATACCAGCATGTGTCTACTTCTATAAATTTTTTATGCTGTTTATTTCAATATATCACAGCTATTTGAAAACGTACAATAATATTATAATACTGTGAACCATCTTGTAATGGAAATATCGTTGAGAAGAGAAAGTACAAGATGAATCACCAGATTATGTTTCAATTTTACAAATGGCGCAGTTATCGCTTGTGTTTTAAATAATATTTATCGCCTCTTCATCCCGCCCTTCCTGATCATATTGTTACGAAATATTCAAGTCTTTCCCATGTACACCCTTTTTTACCATTTTTCACATTTTACATCTCGAAAAAAGCAAATTTGAATGACGTTTCTGAATATCGAATTTGATTCCTTCCTCTTGTGAATGTATTCAAACGTTAATAAATAAATGTATTTATTTATTTTTCAATACTCTCTCTCTAATATTATGTTATCTGGGTTGTTTATATTGCGCGTTCCAGCTTCGGCAGAATTTCTGTACTATTGTTGTAATGTTTTCAATATTACCTGGAGGACATGATCCGACCATAGATACCAAAATGTTGTGAAAAGTTATTTACTTATCATGATAAAACTATCCGCAACATTATTTTTGGTCAGACAAACTTAACATCGCAGAAAATAAATTTAAAAACAAAGAGTCTTTTAAATGTACTAAATGAAGAACACAAAGTGAACTAGTAAAAGTGTGCATTATCATTCGTAATAGTAGCGATAATGTAAGATACATTATACCATAAATAAAACATACTTCCTTGGAATTCCACTTCACAATTCTATAGGATGTATGTATAACTGGTTTTCAATCTAAACACAAACAAATTTACGAACAATTTAAATTTCTTGTGGTATTAATCGTGCAATTCCTTACATCCTGGTTTACATATTTTGACCGTAAAAGTTTGCCCGAAATAAGTTTTGGAACATATTTAAGAGAGTCCAGTTAAGGTTAAGTGTTGCAGAACTAATTTCAACAACATTGCGAGTTACAAGATCCTCTAGGGAGTCGTCATCGTACAAGACAAGTCTTGCAGGAGCTTGTTGTGCTACAACTTATTGTGTGTTGAAACTCTCGACATGGCAGGATCTAAAACAACAACCGTACAACAATGTGGGAAGATTGTGTTTTATAAATAATACAATATACTACTGTAGTAGCATTATAAACATATTCAGGGTGCCCAGCTTCGACTATGACAAACTTAACCAGATTATTTGGAAGTTCACAACAAGCCAAAAATATAATCCAACATGTGTCCTATCAAACTGTTTAGCATCTCTCCGTATGTATGTGCTTTTTACTAAAACATTCATAACTACTCAACGGTTTGAGTTATAGCGTAGAAATTCAGCAAATATGTTTATAGCTTTGCCCACTACCTTTGTGTAAAATATGAAACTTATAACCGGTTAAAGGTTTTGGTAATTTTTAGATTTCAATACTTAATATCCTAAAAACTGAACAAAAAATTACCGCCATTTTGAAACAGTTATATGAATTTTTTATTAATATTTTACACAATGTTAGTGGACAAAATGATAAACACATTAGCTGAATTACAACGTTGTAGCTCAATCCGTCAAGGAGTTATAAGTGTTTTTGTAAAAAGCGCATACAGACAGACAGACGCTGTTTGAGATCGGACACAAATGTTGTAGTGCATTTTTCCTTGTTTAGACCTGACAAAAAATCTGGTAAAGTTTGTCCTGTTTGAAGATGGAGAATCTGAATATTATAAAATGCGCATTTCGAAGCTTTTTACATAAAAAAATAACTAAATAGTAACTAAAATAGGTTCATAGAAAGTGTTTGAAATAAATTATTGACTTGCTTCTGTTATCGTCAGTATTAACCGAAAATGGACAAAAATATGTCTAAAACTCTTTAGGCATACAACACTCATTTCAACAATTCATTAGACCAATTAACCACTCATATTTTGATGACAGTGTCCGATGTAAATCGATCACTACTTACCATATTTTATGTTTATGCGTGTCTTTTACAATCACTAAACAGTATTGGTGTAAAAATATGCTTTAAGTTTTATTAGACTTTTTTCTGTACTTCAAATAAATTTAATAACATCTACAATGCTGATTATTTAGTTATTAATCGGGATTAAGAAGTATGTTTGAGGCAATTTGTTTTACTGTAGGAACGATACGTTAACGTTTAAATCAACTACAGGTTTAGTGATGTGGGAAATCAAGTATATCTTGAGCTTAAATTGTCTAACTGAATAAACAAACTGTCAAGATCGTCAGAAGCTATAAACTGTAAAACTTCTGAAAACAAACTTACAAATTGTAACAGATCACCTCAGGTCAAAAAGTTATCAAAATCAAATTTCTTATTGTTGAGTTGGTCAGAAATGTTACATTATAAAAATAACATGCATGGAATGCAGAAAATTCACCTGGATTGTAAAATGCAATAAAGGTTTTCGAGACACTAGACTTAGGTCTTCATTAGAAGGAGATTTACAGCTAAAACTGATAGACGCTCAAGAATCTAAGTAAACCTGAACACGTTTGTAAATTCTATTGCTAAATTGTTTGCAGAATGTGACAAATTTGACGAAGCTTCTTGGAGAAATCTAATCATCATATTGCGTATTTCCGCCCCATTTTGGACCCTTCAAACTCTCACATTGAGTTGTGTTGCATTTACAACGCTTCTATACTTTATTGTAAATCTGGGGAAAATTTCATCACATCGTATATTTACTTATGTATCTTATTTTTTCTCCTTTATATGTTTGAGCTAAAAAATGAGTTTCAAAAATTTTATCAACTTAACACATTATCTAAAAGAAATTAAAACCCAATTATAAAACTTTAGATGACTATAAGACAACAAGTTAAATTAAATGATCATATTTGCGACCAAAATAAATTATAACAAGCCAATTACTTCATAACGTAAAAAAGATATTCAAATTAGGTACATGAATGTATATGATTTTTCGTTATAATGTGAACAAAAATTATTTGCATTCACTTTCATAAAATATTAATTTTGCTACCTCACCAATGCTACGTCATAGATATGGATTTTGTGTTATAAGTAGTTGTTCTGATTCGAACATTTATCTTTTTCTCCATGGAAACAAAATTTTTCTGTTTGACAAAAGCAAAAGTTTACACTCATATTTAACATGCCTTCCCTCGACACTAGTTTGGGTCTCGCAATTGGAGCTGGAATCAGCCTACTCTTGGCAGCAGGTGTTGTGGAGCTCTGGCGATCAAGATATCCAAGGTATACTAAAGACCGCTTCCATATCCAAGAGAATAAACACTTTAAAATCTACTTGCTGCCTTATGACAGAGACATGGACTTGAGCATACTTGATGAAATGTGAAGTCTAAATCAAAATATGCAACCAGGGAATGTATGTAAATTATGTTTTTATTAATTATCACCACGTTTTAAAACCTAGTTTATTTTTCTTTATAGCTTTCTAAGTTCTGTGTGAACATTTTTATAATTGTATTTCATTCTTGCTCACTTTGATCCAAATAGAGTTTGTACAAAACGTAATATAATAGGTGAACTCACACAGTTAGTGGTAGGATAGTGTAATCTGTTTTAGTAGCTTTGAAGAACTCTATTATTCTTTTTAGTTTCTCCCTTCTGGGAAAGCACAAGAAAACTTTGCTTAATGTATAGTGCATTGCCATAGGTCAGAATTCTCTCGGGATATGAGTATTCTCAGTAGTCTTTATGG